GAGGAGTTATATTTTGTGACGAATATGCATTTAAAATCGTTAGGGGTTATCTCAGCATAGATTTCCCTAATAACCTTTTATCAGTAGACCTGTGTTTATAATTAGGAGAGCGCCCTAGCATGTAGGGTACAAAACACTTACTTTATGCCCTCGCGTCCTCCCTTTGCCTCCCCTGTCCCTCGCTCAGCCTCCTTCTTCTTCTACCGCCCCAGCTATCTTCTCTGCCGGATTTCCTCAGTCTCCCATTCCCTCTTCCCTCAGCAAGCTATATTATGAAGTTTGCCTCAGACGGCACTGCACGAGAGAGAGAGAGAGCGAGAGAGAGAGAGAGAGAGAGAGAGAGAGGGAGAGAGAGAGCGCGCACGCATAGAATTTAGCGAAATACAGCTTCCGTCGGCAACTCTAGAGGGCAAAGGATATTCGCACCGCGGGGCCACATCCTGTCGCCACCTATCGGGGCAAATGATATTCGCGGTGCGAATAAGGACACATTTGCTGCTATTCGCACCGCGGCGAATTAAATTTTCAGCTTTCTTATATATATGCACCGCGGCGGGCGTGCAGTGCCGTCTGAGGCAAACTTCATAATATAGCTTGCTGAGGGGAGAGGGGATGGGAGACTGAGGAAATCCGGCAGAGAAGATAGCTGGGGCGGTAGAAGAAGAAGGAGGCTGAGCGAGGGACAGGGGAGGCAAAGGGAGGACGCGAGGGCATAAAGTAAGTGTTTTGCATGCACCCTACATGCTAGGGCGCTCTCCTAATTATAAACACAGGTCTACTGATAAATGCTTATTAAGGAAATCTATGCTGAGATACCCCCTAACCATTTTAAGTGCATATTCATCACGAAATATAACTCCTCTGGTGAGATATTGCGCATGCGCTAACACACTAACGTAGCGGAGGAATACCGAACGAACGAAACCCGATTGTGTACTGGCTGGGATATGCAGCGGGGACCTTACATGCAGGATCATCGTCCTGTTTCTTAAGTGAGGTGTATCGATGGAATTTTATCATAGAAATCTATCCTCTCTATTTTAAATGCATCATTTTCGCAAAATATTAATATTCTAGAGAGATATTGTGCATGCGCGAGCACAGTTTCAGGCGTACAATACGGACTAAAGACAACTGCATAATATAGCTTGCTGAGAGAGGGAGTGAGTGTTGGAAGACTGGGGAAAGGCAGCAGGGAAGATAGCTGGGGCGGGAGAAAATTGCGATATTGCGCATGCGCTAACACACTAACGTTGCCAGATTATGTACTGGCTGGGACCTTACAGTGGGGACCTTAGATGCAAGATCATCGTCCTGTTTCTTAAGTGAGATCTACTGATGGAATTTTATCATAGAAATCTGTGCTAGGATAACTCCTCTTCATTTTAAATTCATAATTTTTGCAAAATATTATTAGTCTCGGGAGATATTGTGCATGCGCGAGCACAGTTTCAGGCGTACAATACGGACTAAAGACAACTGCATAAAATAGCTTGCTGAGAGAGGAGGGGTGGGACCGTGTGAGACCGAGGAAAGGCAGCAGGGAAGATAGCTGAGGGGCGGTAGAAGAAAAATGAGGCCGAGCTAGAGATAAGGAAGGCAAAAGCAAGGACGGGAGGGAATGAACTAGGAGTTTTGCATCCTACACGCTGGTGCAAGCACACTTATTTACACTGTGGTTCTCCCTATATTAAATGCGACACTAGCAGCAGCACTTTGAACTATCGAAATATACAAATATACGGTTTTCACAAGTTATACTTTTTACATAGTTTATACATTTGTTCTAGACCATTTACAATTAGTGACTGAAATAATGACGCTTTCCCTGACGTTGGGCGGCGGGGAGGGGGGGGGGCTCCCCTTATGGCACCACGTAAAGTGCTGGAATGATATACCTCAATCAATAAAAGTTAACAATCTGAATTCCTTTAAATTTAATCTTAAGAAGTTTCTTATTAATAAATATACGTAGAAACTATGGTATTAAATTGAAGATATTTTATACAAGTAAGGTATGCATATAAATATCAAATTATATCTATATTATATTTATTTTGTACAGCATTGTATATAGTCTATCTGGTGTTTTATACATAAGAACATATTGTATATATACATATGTAAAGTAATGTAACGTACGTAATGTTTTTGTAATTATAACCTATCGTATGGTTTTACAATGTGTCGTAATGTCACACCACGTTATGTAATGTAAATATTATATATCATCATGTCTTGTAATGTCTTATGTAGTATATTGTCATATCATGGCATGTATTGCAACGTAATATATCGTCGACTCATGTATTGTAGATAGTATTACGTCGGGTATTGTTATGGTCTGTATGTATTGTAATAATCTGATCATGTCATGTATATATGTAAACATCATATATCATCATATCTTGTAATGTCATACGTTTTATAAAATTTGTCTAATCGTAATGTGTTGTATTGTTTTATAATGTCATGTCATGTATAGTAATATAATATAACGTCGTGTATTGTACGTAGTACAACGTTGTGTATTGTGATGGATTGTGTGTGCTGTTGTCATCAGATCAAATCATGTATTGCTAATATCATTCAACATCGTGTCTTGGAATGTAATAATTGATGTACTTTAACTAATGTGTATGGCTGACTATATGACCGCAAGGTCTTTTCGCCATACCTGTGCTTTATAATAACAAAGTTACAAACTTTTTAATTTTGCACTGTCTGATTTATCTTTTTAGCACGAATAAAAATCTTGAAATCTTGAAAAATCTTGAAATCTTGTATGTAGTAGCTAGCCTCCTAGTTTGCTGTTTCTTGAATTCTAGATATAATGCACATTATCCACATTAGTAGTAATTTGCCCTTGATTAATGTTTAGTTGCTTATTTTTTGAAGCGATTTGATTAAGTGTAAACATATTATCGGTTATATAATTATGACGGTCTATGAGCGTCTGTTGTTTCGTAATCTACGGCAGCCGACTGAAAGGGGTGATAGGATATGTTTACTAGGCACTTCTAATTTTAACATATATTTTACGATATATTAAAGAATGATGCAAAAACCCTAAAAAGTGCCCTAACCCTAACCCTAACCCTAACCCTAACCGTAACCCTAACCCTAACCCTAACCCTAACCCTGACCCTAATTAAATTTAAAATATATGTTAAAATTAGAAGTGCCTAGTAAACATAAATATTATCCTATCACCCCTTTCAGCCGGCTGCTAATCTACGTGGTTATGACGTCATTCGTGCGTCATTTGCTCGCGAAATCTCGCGCGATCGGACATTTTAAAACTGGAGTTTCATGAACTTTTGTCATCGTTTCGTTTGTATTTTCTGCAACTATCGTGCGTTATTTCCGTATATTCGTGGTGTTCTGAGAAATTTTGTTCTTAAAACCTAAAAGGTCGGGTTCGTTATCGTGATTTGAAAGTGATCAGTTTGAAAATAGCTGGTGACACTGACAAATACGTACGGCTGTTCCGGGTTTCTCGTGCAACGCAGTTATTTAGGTTAGGCGCGTTAGGCCGACGAGACTACGGTCACTACCTGACTAGTGGTAGTAAACGTCGTAGTCATCTGTACGGTCGGGCCTGCTATACATTTTCGCTTTTTGAGCTAGAGTAGACGTCATAGTAGATATTATTTATATTAGCTGTAGCGCTCGACTCATGACGACTGGTCTGTCAGTGATTTCGCTCAAGGCAGAATACTACGTTTGGGCTATAAAGTAAATTTATTTAGTAAAGTCACGTGTTTTGGGCTACCTGTCTGGCGCAATCCTAGTTTCCTAGTAAGCCTAGGTCACTTGAGGTGACGGTTGGTCAAGTTGGGACTTGGGAGGCCATTGTCAATACGCTTTGTCGGTATATGTGACTTTCTGTACATGTATTTCGATATTTGCTTGGAGCTATAACCTGTTGTGTCATCTCTTATTGGTTCTGTGAGTGCCAGTTTTTTGCAGGGAATAATTTTACGGGTATCTTAGATCCCGGCACTTACTGGGGTGAAATGTTTACGAGTTGTGTTGTTCATATGATTATATATTGTGTGATTACTCTTGCAGGATTTTGCCACAATCGTGGCATTACGTGAGAATTGTTCTAGCATGATTACTAGACTGTTTCAGACATCGTTTGATGTAGCTTGTTATCAGCATGTGATTCGGTGGTTGAACTTCTGGTTGTCAGCCAAGAACCTCAGCTGTTTGACTGACCTTCAAGTCTTGCTTCTATCCCTGCTGTTCTGTGCTTGATTATGACATGTTTCCCGTGTTTGCTTTGGTCGCCATCAGCTAGTCAGTTGGATAGTTCTGAGAGATTCTGGATTTTAGAACCTCTGTTAACAGTGATGGTCAAATGAAGAACAAGCTACATGGTTACTTTGATTATGCTTTCTGTTTTGTTCATGCTCCGATATTCCTTGGTCTATTCTGGTGATTGTGTCCTCAAATCAGTTTTATACAATCAATATTTACTTTAGCTGGTCATCAAGTATGTTTCGGAAACTATTTTTCACGTAATAGTCTAGCGTTTTCATAAACCTGCCAGTGTTAACGCAATGTTACTCACAGTAGATGTCTTAGGATATGTGGCATGAATTAAAACTACATCACAGAAGGGGTTGATTCGCTTAAAATTTCACGGCTTGTATTTCTAAACTCGGCGACATCTCTGATTTCGTTGAAACGTTGCTTCTGTTCCGTCGTGGCGTTGGTATTGCATCGGATCGAATGAAGCTGTCGCTTGTGCCTCATGCTTGAAGGGGAGGTCCTTCCCAGCAAATGTGGTTGCCAGCAGCAGGAGTCTTTTTCTTGGAAGCATTGTGTAAATTGAAAGTACATCACAGAAGAGGTTGATTTGTGTAAAATGATCGTTCGCTTATTAATCGATCCATCAAGGTCACTTGCAGGTCACTAGCGGAATGAGGTGATCACTTCGATATGTTTGGTGTTGTCTGTGTGAAGGGGTGGGCTTTGTCGGAATTGGGCGTCTGCGGCAAGTTTCAGCGTTTGGTCATTTGTTGATTGCGACCATGTTTATTACATCCTCAGGTTCGTCCAAGTCCACAACCACCACCAGTGAGGTTAGCATTTCTGTTTATAAATCTTGCCTGCTTTCATAATTATGCTTCTATAATCACTACTGCTGAGATCGTTATGTCTATAAATATTAAATATTGATTATGTTTCTGTGAGTGCATGCGCACGTGTGATCATATTTCTCACGCTTGTTCATTTCTGTTAGTTTGTTATTAGCGAGGTACTGATGATCACCATTCGATTAAACTGGATGTTTGTATATATGTAACGTTCATCTTGCTAAAGTGTTAAAAAATTATTGTGTAATGCATCATTTATATTAATTAATTTTCTGTTACCTTGTATTCAGGGAGGACCAAGATCGTAGTACCAGATGAGAATTGCCGTAACCATATAATACATATCGTGTTATATCAGATCCTTACATACAAGCTGTTGCTAGTCAGCTAGACTATTGTGTCGGAAGCTGGCAGTAAGAAACAAATAGCCGACATAATGTCGCAAATGGGAGCTGATTGCTATTTCTACTACTATTCAACTTGTGATAAGGTGTGTAGATTTTGTTTGCATGTGTGCGACTTGTTAAATAGGCTGATCTTGGCCATTCTGTTAGAAATCTAAGGTTGAAGATATTTTCTAAACACATCGATACTGTATGTTTCTGTGTGTATGTGTGTGTGTGTGTGTGTATGTGTGTGTGAACAGTGTAGCATGTTTTGCGTCTGATCAGTGACAAGGCTACATCTGTTTGCAGGGGAGTACCTGTCCGTTTCGCCACTGCGAGGCAGCACTTGGTAATGAAGTCGTGTGTAAATTGTGGCAGAACGGCAAATGCTTTCGTAAAGTTTGCATGTACCGACACATGGAAATAAAGGTAGGTGGCGCTGTGCCAACTTTCGCTTCTGCATTATAGAGAAATGATAAATTTATAATCTCGGTTCAGAGTCATACCCAGAGATTAATATGATCTCTAATAATCAGCTGTAATCTGATCTTGTGACGTATGCAAAATTATATTTTAGTTGTCTGAGAAACTAATCGGTTCTGCTATACGGTATATCATAGAATGGTATGGAAATTACGGAACCTCAAACAGGATGAAATGGAGGCAGCTCTGATTTAATTGCATGCAGGAATAAACATTACAGCGTGTATGTGCAGGCTAGCAGTCTCACTAAGTAATAACATTACAGCGTGTATGTGCAGGCTAGCAGTCTCACTAAGTAATAATGAAACTTGTAACATAGTCTCTATGTCTGCTCAGTATGGTGAAGTGCTAACACACTGAATGTTCCGATGTTTTACAGAAGCAGCGCAATGTAATAAACTGCTACTTTGAGACTCAGCCCGGTGGATGTCAGAAGCCTCATTGCGTCTTCAAGCACACACTCCCTCGTGCGGACGGCTTTCTTGCTGCTGATGTCAACCTTGGTTAGTCTACGTCTAGTCTTTGTCTCTGTCTACGTCTAGTCTTCATCTCCGTTTCGTCCCTGTGTGGGTCTAGTTGTCGTCTGCTTTAGTTGGCGTGTATGTCTAGTCTTTATCTTCCTCTTGTCTTTGTCGACATCTAGTCTAGTCTTCCACCATGTCTAGTCTCCGTCCATGTCTAGTCTCCGTCCATGTCTAGTCTCCGTCCATGTCTAGTCTTTGTCAATGTCTAGTCTCCGTCCATGTCTAGTCTCCGTCCATGTCTAGTCTCCGTCCATGTCTAGTCTTTTATCTGTGTCTAGTCGTTGTCTCTATCTTATTTGAGTTTGTCTCTAAGTGTTTTTCTGTGTCTTGTCTTTGTCTTCAACCAGTCTTCGTCACTGTTTAGTAGTCATCAATGATTAGGCTTTGTTTACATCCATGTCATTACCACTACAAGTGTATGTTCGTGTTACCTACTTGTTATTTCCCTACGTCTATGAACCTACTTTACTTTATTTTATTGCGAGGTTATGAGAGACCGATTGAGCTTTGTAAGATGTTGCTGTCAGCGTCGGGTGACCACAATGATGTTGCTGCTGCGAGTGTTGTGCTGCTTAGGTTATTGCTGCTACCCAGCCTCGCACGTCTACACTACGTTGTCGTCCATTTAATTTATGCTTCGTCCTCAGACTCGGATGATGACGCTTCCACGACTCCGCACGGGCTCACACCGAGCGCGCCAGCGATGGCGTGGGATGAGACGCCACGGTGGCAGGCGCGCGCGGCGGAGCATCCAACGATCACTGACGAGGCAGCGGTGGTGCCCCCGTACAGTGACTTCCCCACGCCATTAGTGCAGCCCGTGGTCTTCACTCCGATGGAAGGTACGTGTGCGAGCGAATGCGTGCACCGTTGAGGCTTGCGTACAAGAATATAGTTGTGCACTTGTTAGTGCGCCCTTTTGAGGGTGTGAATTAGTGTGTCAATGGGATGGTATGCGTTAGGGTGACGATAAGCACCGGTGCATTATTACACGCCCTGAATGCGGTATCATGCCACAGGAATGGCTGTGAATTCTCTCGTGCCGCACAAAGTGATATTTCGCATGACAATGGAGCCGATTTTGCTTGGTCGCCAAAATTTTGGGCGACTGATGAGCGAGGCGAGGATGGTGACCTGCATCCCGATACAGAGATCAGGATTCGTAGCGGGTCTTCTAAAGTCTTATAAGTACTTATTTTGCCAAAAATAAAATAAGGGCCCTTATTAGTACTTATTTTTGGTGAAATCTTAGAAAAGTACTTAATAGTCCTTATTTTTTGCCAAAGGACCCTAGCTTTTATAAACTGTTCTTGACTTAGAGTAAGAATTGTTGTATATATAATACGGAATAATTAAATCTGCTGTGCAATTGTGTATATAAATATTAGTGTACTTTAATAGTCGGTGATCTATCAGAAATCGCTTAAAAAAGTCTTATTTTGGCCTCCAGAAAGGGTCTTATAAGTCCTTATTTCAACATGTGTCTTACTACTATGAACCCTGAGAGATGCTTGAGTGTGGTTGTGTTGCCGTGGTTACAGAGTCGTCGAGTGACAGCCTCAGCAGCAGTCCTCGCTGCCAGTCTTCGCAGGTGCCGAGGCGACCTCAGATCTCGTTCAGCAGTCCTCGCAAGCTGCCCTCCCCGAGCGGCGCCGCGATGCAGGGTAGGCGTGTTGCCATGGTTACGTCATCATGCTCGTGCGAATCTGCTGCACAGTTTGTCATACTTGTTTTGTATGTTAGTTTTTAGAGTTTGGTTGATTATCTCGTAAACCGATGTATTTCATGTGTAAAGCCTTCATATTATTCACGATCTTGTTATCTTCTTTATTTTATAGTCCTCATTATTTTTGTGTTTTATATTAAGACGAGATCTTTTTTGCTATTGGTTGTTGTGATTGGTGTTATGGTTCTATTTTATTCAGAGTCCTTACAGCTTTGTTGAACGTTCGCTCTTTTCAGAAAAAAAGAATGACAACTTCGAGGTGAAGTCGTTAAATCAGATCAGAAGAGAGAGGTCGGAAGTTCTTACGCCAGATGGATCGATCAGGATCACTGCGAAAATGTCGCCACAAATCCAAGTGAATGACCAAGAAGTCGAACCAGTAGAGGGCGCTGGGCACTCCCACGTTGCTCGTTACCCTGGTGAGCATTCAGGCATGAGTATAAGCCATATCGGAAAGTCCCTGCCGCCATATTGAGATCAGATAAGACGGGTGATAAGTTGCCTTTATATAACATAGTTACGATGACCAGTACTAGTCTAGGTTTTTGATCTATAATTCTCTTCACTAACATTGTACTTCAATTCATAGGTGCGTTTCTGTTTACAGAAACATTTACAAATATGATTGTGGTCATTTGGGATATTTTGCAATGTTTGTGTTAATGCAAAAACTAAAAACGCACGAGTGTTTACAAGCGTGCCTCGGCCATTTTACCCCCTTTTTCTATGACCTAAATGTCCGCAGCTGGACTTTCCGATATCACTAATTGCCGGAGCGATTTATCTCGCTTACACGAGTTGTGCATTAGAGGGACTCCCTCTTAGCTATTCTACGTATGAAACCAGTTGATGGTCACGTACCGTTCGTCTGTCATATAGTGTCGTACAGTGTCAGTACATCATACTGTACCACAATACACAACATTTAACAGACAAGATACATTTTGGAGGCTTGCCTGCTAAACGAATCATCAGTGAAACAAGGTCAAAGGTTAATTATAATAATTAAAATTAGTAAAATGTTTAAAGAGATGCTGGTGCAATGGCAAGGTATTGCACATGATCATTGTTTAACCTGAGATAGAGAATGATAAACTACAAAGATGGCTGCATAAATTGTCATTAGTTCTTTATAAATAATATTTGATTGATCTTTTCTCATCTCTTAACAAAAATGGTTAAATATTTTAGTTTGCTAAGCAAAGTGGGGAAATGTGGGTACTAGCAGTACAGTTGTCACCTAGGTTTCTGGCATTGAAGCCCAGAATATCCTGTTTCTTGACTGCTTGTCATTACTGACCTTGACCAGTTGATCTGTTACTCGTTGTTAGGGTATAACCAGGTCAGGTAAGCCGGCAGGGTTTGAAAGATGTATGAATATCATGCTGTAGAAGTAACAACCTCTCAAACACCTGAGAAGCAAACATCGTAACAACACTGTGATAGCAGTGTTGGGAAATATGTGTTGGTGTGCGTTGGTATGCCAGCAAGTACGATGTGGTAAAATTTGCGATGGTGTTAAGTGAAGTGTGACAATGTGATAAAATATGTAACACTGGTAATTCATGTACATGAACAATAAATAGTGCATGTACTTGCAGATACTGTAACCAGAACTATTATCAGTAAAAAAAACGAGCGAGCGATCGCCCTAAAGCAGTCGCCACGGCAGTCCAGGATCTCCCGTCTGAATGAGCAAGTAAAGGCATTGGTGTCGGAGACGTGTGAGGACGACACATGGGAAGACAAGCCACAGGGTAATTCTTACGTGAATATTTCTCTAGAGTTTTCTGTCATCTGCTTGCCATTTTCTGAGCGTTACTTTGAGCATTGTGATGTTTATTGGTGAAATGTGGCTCAGAAGCATTTGACAATAGTGGAAATAGGACTAAATGAGTGTCGTGAAGTATTTCCCAGCGGAAAGTACCATCTTGAATACCTTTCCGTCATCATTAATTGCACATTTAAATACTGTCAATTCGTTGATATACGATGTTTTTATAATTTTAGGTGCTTCCTTGGAAGGTCAGATGAGGGAAGCTCTCATTACAAGGATGCAGAATAAACATAAGCACGAGAGACTGGTGACCGTACACATGGAGCAGGAGAATAGTGAGTGCAGCTGGCTCCAAAAATCAAACAGATTCATTGGCAAAAGTGGTTGTGACCACAGGAAATGGTCTCAGGGGCACTACATCAGTCGGAGAAGGGGTGGCTCTTATTAATTCATGATGATTAGCAAGGACACGCGCTCTCTCTCTCTCTCTCTCTCTCTCTCTCTCTCTCTCTCTCTCTCTCTCTCTCTCTCTCTCTCTCGCGCTTCGATCTCTCAGCTCTCTCCTCTCTCTCTCTCATCTCCTCTCTCTCTCTCTCTCTCTCTCTCTCTCTTCTTCTCTTCTCTCTCTCTCTCTCTCTCTCTCTCGCTCGCTCGCATCAGTCGGAGAAGGAGTGGCTCTTAAATCAAAAAAACAAAAACAAAATTTTTTTAATTAAAATTTATCTATAGGCTACACAGGGAATTTCATTGAACCTGCATATGATTTACCGGCAGGGTGCGAGCGTCCGACGGTATTGGCGAACATTGCTTTACGGCAATACGCATCCTTTAAAACTATAGTGTGCTTCATAAAGAAGGTGGTTCATAAAGAATAATGTCATACAAGCTGAATTACAATAGGTTGGAAATTGGTTTTTCAAAGCTGTTTTAAAGCTGAATCATGATCTGCTATGATTCTCACTAATGATGTTAATTGCATATAATTCCAGATAGCAATTGCCCAAAGGTTGTAATCTCTCACAAAGGGGGTTAACGTGGTTTAATACCTTTAATTGGTACCGAGGAGCGTAATGTTTATATTGACTGCATGGTATCCACCCGCAGATAACGATCTTGACACGAAGCAAGAGAAGCAGGACGAAGGAATTAAACCGGCTGTGAAGAGGCAGAGGATCCTATTGGGAAGGCAAGTGAGTGAAGTAGGAAGCGAAGAGGAGAAACAACCGGTAAAGAGGAAGCTGAGGAACCCATGGGGGAATCAGGCACGAGAAGAGCCAAGCCTGGATGATAGGAAAACCTTCAGGCAGGAAAAAGGACTTTACCAGCCAGCAGTCGCTAAACATCGAGGTAAGGATGCAGTTATACGATGGGAGAGCTCATATTCCTGCAGTCCACGTAGTTGGGTTTCCCGTTCCAGTTCTTCGTTGGTTCCTGAGAGGGAGGAAGATCCATAATTGTATTTTTACATGGCTGAGTCTTATCTTATGCTTACACACGGCATCTCATTTCTCTTGTGACAGAAGCCAAGACGGAGACCTTGAGCCTGCAGGTTAGGCTGGGGTTGAAGCGAAGAAATTTAGGACTTGATAGTAAGGAGAGTACGAGAGAAGAGACAGGTGAGGGGAAGCCAAGCTTGCAGGGAAGACTTGGCACGAAGAGTCCTACAGAGGAGGTCCAAGGCAGCAGTGAGCCGTCCCCCGCTCGCACGGGCGCGAAGAGAAAAGCTGGACAACTGAGCATAGCACTAGAGAGAGCAGCCACGGGCAATGTGGTAAGTGTCTTATTCTGTCTAGGCCTCAGGAAGAGTGTTTTATTGGTGTCCAGAACTAAGAAGGTGATTACATTAATGATTCAAATTTTACAAGCAGTTTGTTTCGAGGTTACATTTTGTACATCTGGTTTGGATACGTATACGTGCACGCATGCATGCACACGTTACTTTATCGGATCTTAACCGTGCGCTGTTACCTGGCCTCCTCCATTCGTAGGGGCTCGATGGGAACGAACCCTCGCTGACTGTCAAGTCACTGGAGGAGATTCGTCACGAAAGGGCGCAGCGCTGGCAGATGACAATGACGGGATATCAGCCTGCTGCGACACATGACGATGAGGAAGACTCGGCGGAGGACAGCGGGAAGGCGGTGAGAGTGCCGGTAAGAACAGTGAGCGTTGGCAGCGCACTGCGCCTGGCTAGCGTCGGACGCCGAGCGGGGGATAGGGTCGGGATTGAACTACTGTCGTGAAGTCGATGACAGGTAGCTCTAGCCAATCAGAGTTGTGACGAAGACAGGTGGGGTTATTTGTCATCTTGCTTGAGACAGGTGGGGTTATTTGTCATCT